CTCTCTCTCTCTCTCTCTCTCTCTCTCTCTCTCTCTCTCTCTCTCTCTCTCTCACACACACACACACACACACACACACACACACACACAAAGCAACAAACATATGCGCACATGCACAGACTACGTGTCTGCACACACAAAGCACCATCCAAAGTACAACAGTGAAACGATCATTTCAAAAAATAATCATAACCTCTCTTTTTTCAACATCAGAGAGTAAAATATCCCAAATATGTGTTCGAGTGAGACAACGACGGAAGGTATATTCTGTTGGCTATCAAGGGGCTCGATTGAGCATTGACGACATCATGATATAGATGGCAAATGAAGAGATTGACAAACACTAGTAGACAAATGGAAAAACTGGTATTTCGGCAGCCAGCACAGAGCTAAATAGATAGCCACAGTGTTGCATACTTGTGAGTACTTCAACAAGTATGGGCAGAACCAAGAGATCAACCAATATAGGATGAGCATGTATGCAGCGGAAGTCTGATTAATGGACTGACTCACATAGACTGACTCACACAGATATCACTCCACACACAAACAATCGTGAGATGGCGGGGTCTGAGCCAATCATAGACGATGCTCAGGCCCCGTACACATACACAGATGAAAGGTGGGAGGAGAGACGAAGGAGGTGGGAGATGTAGGCAGCGCCAGATGTCACCGAGATAGAATCCAGTAGGTCACCGATATGGTAGTCCAAAATGTCATCGAACAAGATCAAAATGCCGTGGAAAATAAGTCACCAATGTCGGAGGTACAGAGTCCTAATGTAACCAGTGTCCAATCTGTGATGCCGCCGAGTATCAAACCCCAACAAATCTCCAAGTCTCGAATCCGGTAAGTACCACAGCCTCTTACCACCGAAGTCCAACAATGATCTCTGTCCAACTAGTATCAAGTCTCCAGTCTGAAGAAGAAGAAGTCTGAAGAAGAAGAAGAAGTCTGAAGAGGAAGAAGAAGAAGTCTGAAGAAGAAGGAGAGGACAGAGGAGGAGAGAGGTGAGGAGGAGGGGAACCAGGGACTGTGGAGGGAGGAGAAGACCTCACCCCCGAGTACCTGGTCTACTGCAACTGCCTGAAGCCGAAGTCGGCTATGGCTGCCCGCTGTCTGGCTCCTCGCTCGCTGCCGCTGCTGTGCTAGCTGCGCTGCTGCTGCTCCTCTACGCTGCGCTAAGAATAGCGCTGGCGCTCCTGCTGTTCACACCGAAACGAACTGTCGCTCTCTCAGCGTCCAGCCGCTCGATGCCTCACAATGAGCCTGGACCGGTCTTTAGTACCGGTGGAAACGAGGCCGGCCTCAATGCTGCGAGGCCTGGCCATGACCTGAACCGTCGAGATCGTCGGTTCAGATCAGACCGGCGGGCGGCAGCCTCAAGAGCGCCACCAGGCCCAAACGGTAATGTCGTTTGGGCCTGCCCGTCGGGTCTGGTCCAAAATGCGGCCTTTCGGCCTGCTGTACCCCCAAGTCTGGGCCTTTAGGCCCTACTGTGTTCCCTTGGCCCTAAGTCGGGTCCGGTAGGACCCGTGTGGCGTCGAAGATGTAACACACAGTAAAGTGATCCCATTCAAAAGTTCGAACTTCAAAGCTATGTTATTCAAGTGTTGCATAAAACCAATCAACAGTGAAAGCAGTGAATGAAAATGAACATCAACACAAAGGCTAAATGAATAATACACAAGAACAAGTGCGGCAAGTCGTCCGGCCTCTCTCTCCTTCTCTGACTAAATCTAAATAATACACAATAACAAGTGTCGCAATATCCTCCAACCTCTTTCTTCTTCTCTGAACTCTTCTTCCTCACATAAATAATGGTCATGGAGAACTCTCTTCTACAACAAGGAACCTTCACTCCCCCCTCACCAGCTTCTCCAACCTTCTCCACCCTAGCCAACCTAACCTCTCTCCTCCCAAAACCCTCAGAGGCATGGGGGCATAACGATAAAGTTTTGATTAAAGAATGTCATTCCCTCGTGGAGCCTTTGAGTCTTCTACTTCAGCATAGCTACACGGCGATCTTGTCGTCATGTAGCTACATAACCTTCCTCTCTCCTTGTCGTGTTGAATGCACAAGCTAGCCAGTCCCTGCATACGAAAAATAAACACATGCAAACACTGAAAATTCAGATTCCAAATTTTCAACTTGATGTTTTAAATTCGAAGTTGGATTGGTTGGTGATAGTGCTAAATTTAAGAACAAGAAAACAGATGAAGACGATCAGGAATGAAAACAGGAAATAGCCTTCAACTATGACATGCTCATTTTTAAACCTCCCTAAATGTGTTTGACCACAACCCCAAGGTCCAGATTCTTTGAACCGGTATCATTAAAAGTATGACATTTTTAAAGGCTTATCAAATATGGTCATGCTATGGACTCAAAAGTTCTCTAGGACAAGGCGTGATGGGGGTGAGGGAACGTGGGTGGAGAAACAGAAAACAACAACCATTTCTCAGAGCCCTTTGACACACATTGCGTACTTGTCCCTAGAGCAGTAAAGCAAGCCCCACTGTAAAGATGCTCCTGGAGGAACTGTAACACACACCTTCCCTCGTCTATTTCCGCACAATCTCAATTATATTCCAATAAAAAGTAAGTGATGTATATCTACCTCTCAGCTAAAATGGATCTACAACCAAGAGAAGACGAGAAGTTTTAATGACCCCGAACATACTAACAAGCAAAAGCTTCACAGAACCATACTGCATTGGTCAAGCTCCTTGCGTCCCATTGCACTAACAGCTAGGTTCACATGGATGAGTCCTGCAAGAACGCTAGTAATGACTGTGTCCGACACACATCAAGCAGATGACAACGGAGAGGGAAAGGTAGGGAGCAACAACACCGACTGCTGCTAAATAGGCCTTCAACAAACCAGGGAATCCGGCAGGGTTTCACTGGCTACTGACTACGCAAGATGATGCATATCAATTGTGACTCGAGGGACTGATATAAATGAAGCATCTCATACTGCTCAGGCAGTGCATACACAAGAAAGTAAGAACAAATCAACATCAGTTTCTAATACACATACTACCAAGCTACGATCTGCATGGTTGATTAGCATGCACATGTCCAAGGAGCACCAGTGTGATGAACATGACTCAGAACAAAATGATATAACGAAATGTAGCACCGTGGAAGACTTAAAGATATGACCTGACTCATTGTAACTCAGGCTCGACTCACACAGACATTGTCGCACATGTCAAGCCAGCAAGGAGGGAGACATACATGGAAGAATGATTCCTCCTTGCACAAGCAAACGGGGAGAACACCACAGATGCTGGAGGTGCAGAGGAGACGAGGGGGTGAGAAGGGGGAGAAGACAAGATAGTAACTTAACGTCGTCCAAAACTGCCTCCCTCCTCCCTATCCCTCCTTCGTCAAATGTCCAAACAATCATCTCCCTCAAAATGTTGAATTAGCTCCTGGACACACAAAGACCCAAAATAGTCACTGCCTGAAATTTCTCTCTCTCTCTCTCTCTCTCTCTCTCTCTCTCTCTCTCTCTCTCTCTCTCTCTCTCTCTCTCTCTCNTCTCTCTCTCTCTCTCTCTCTCTCTCTCTCTCTCTCTCTCTCTCTCTCTCTCTCTCTCTCTCTCTCTCTCAAGAAGAAGAAGAAGAAGAAGAAGAGGGAGGAGGAGAAGAGGAAGAACAGTGGTAATGGAGGGGCTGAGAATAATCAAGAGAAAAAGAAGAAGGCAAAGAAGAACCCTCTTCTCTCGCAGTCTCCTGATGATGATGCCACGAATACGGACCAGCGAAGGTGATGACTCCTGATGCAGCCCTATGACTGGCGCAAACTCCTAGCTATGGCGCCCAGGTCAGTCTCCCTCTCCCTCATGGCTATGGCCTCCGCCAACCTCTCTACTCCAGCCTCCTCCCTAGCTCCTCTAGCACTGCTACTGAATCGCAGCTCTCCCCAAACTGGCATGGCTCCAGCAGCATGACACACTAAGGCTCCAGACAGAATGCCCTCCAGTGGGAAGACTGGCCCAGCTGTATACCGCTGGGCCTGGCTGAGCAGCCCTCGGTTTGCCATCAGGGCCGTCAGATATAATATCCGATCGATGGTCCTGACCGCCGACCCAAGTCCTTTTTTTTTTTTTTTTTTTTTTTTTGTGCTGTGATCCTGGCCAGAAACAGCCTGCCTGCGTCCTTACCGGACGTCCAGGCAACCCTGCTGATGCAGCAGGGTCCTGAGGACTGGGCGAGGCACAAACAGACGAATGCCTAGTCCAATCCCAGATACGGACAAATCTGAACCTGGCCTGTTACGGCCGAATCTGAAATCCGCTGGTCCGCACAGGCATCCGCCTGTTCGCACAAAAAAAGAAGAATTTGGAACAACAAACCTGCCTCAAGCGTGGCCGTGGCCCACCTAGTGGCACAGCAACAGGGGCTGTGCAGCCTGGGGGCTGATAAGGAAAATGCCGGGCCTGAAAAAAAAAAAAAAAAAAAAAAAAAAAGAGGGAAAATGTCGGGACTGAAGGGCCCATGTTGGCGCCCCTAGGATGCAGCTGAGCCAGGACGAATCTGGCTGGAATCACATCTGACGCTTTATAGTAAACGTCCTTGTGTGAGTACGTGCTCCAACTAGGGGGGGAAAAAACACAGAGATTCATGAGATTCATGATTGCAGTCAGAGAGCTGAGGGTGTACTCACACTCAGACCGTCACTACAAACCTTTGGAGGTGATTGCAGTTAGATTCGGAGGATCAGGACATTAGACAAGCTGTTGACAACCACCGAAGAAAAGTTCTTGAATTCAGACGGGGGAAACACCAATGTGACACAACAAGGGGTCAAAAAGAAAGAGGAAACAAAAAGGCACAAGAACGTCATTTCATAGATGGAGGAGCAGACTAATTGAAAAAAAAAAACTTAGCATCATCTCCCCTCCCTTACATGCTCCAAAAGTTTTATGAAACTCTAACCAAACCCGTCACAAACTAACTAATATACACACACAATCCTATAATCATTATGTTGTTCTCCAAAAAACGAAAACACAGTTATGATTTCCAAGGTGAGGTGATTAGGAAATGTGCAAGAAAAGGGACAAGATGCATGAAACCCTAGGTTGACACACAGTTGTATTCCGCTCAAATGGCATAACCAAAAGAAACAAAGAGGCTCGCCAAAAGAGCAATGCAACCAATGGGGGTTAAATGCCAATAGCAGGACTTCAGTTCCTTCCCAATATTTTTTAACATGGCCACAACACTGCCCTAAGATGCTCCGATCATATGGCAGGAACCGGTACTCATTCGAAACCAACGCTAAACACCGCCAGTGGGCCTTAGCCCCGGGACTATCATAGTTGGTACAAGCATGAAGTGTAGAAATACAGACCTGAGTTGGAATCTCTATGGTAACTCAAGGCAGTCCCCCTTTTAGGAGAGACAAAAAAAAAAGGCACACAGACACTCCTACATTTCGTTCAGGAGCATTCTGCGTCCGTTCTGGTCGTTAACAGATTTAATGAAAAACTAATCTAAGGACATGTATACATTGCAAACAAAACAACATAAATCTCCAAACTCACCTCCTCTCTCTCTCTCTCTCTCCCTCTGTGGAAACTCCTGGTTACAAAGTGTCATTTTCTGACCAACAACTAACATAAATCTCTCTCTCTCTCTCTCTCTCTCTCTCTCTCTCTCTCTCTCTCTCTCTCTCTCTCTCTCTCTCT